TCACATTGAGAAGGATCTATTGTCAGAAATATAATATGTATAGGTATGTTTTCATTAGTGTTTAATCACCTGAATATAAGAATTGTTGTGTTTTGTTACCTTACAATGAGCCAGTTTATCAACAACATCACACATCTCCGCCATGTTGAACTGTCATGTTTCTACAGTAGTCCTGAATGGACAAACCAAACGCTGTCTCTAGACAACCACCGTAGTTTCTCCTACAAGCTTGGAAAGCAGCTGTATTCAGTTGGTTGCAATCTGCAACATAGACGTCACTAAATCCTTCACACTGGCCCTTTAAGTCGGTTAATTTTTTTGTCAAATCACTCAATGTGCTAAAAGAAATTGCAATAAACATTGCATATAAATGTAATTGTTCAGGAAAAATATGATCGCCTTGTGAATGTTACAAAGATTACATTAACAAAGACTAATTTTAATTGTTTATTTGAGTCAATTTTTAGGTTATGTTTTCTACTTTTTAAATGATAATTCTGGATTTTTTACAATTTATTTACATTGTTTGGGCCACAATTTCTACCAGTTATAAAAACATTGTAATTACCAAAGTAATAGCTGAGATAAAAGGGTTAAAAAAACACAAGCGGTCAGATGTTCACACTGGTCTTTAAACCATCTTTTAGGGGGTAACACCAAAAACAAGTCAGTAATTATTCTGTGTGAAGCAACAGCAAGTAAATGTCATCAAAAACTGAAAGTGCAACCCTCCCAAAACAACAGCTAAACGCACGATCAGAGAGCTTTGGTGCAAGTGCTTAGGGCTTTCAAAGTTGAACCTGGTTCAAGTTTGTCTGTAACAACACACAGTTCGGAAATAATCTTACAATTCGCCTGCATATTATTTCTCCAGATAAGTTCAGCCCGGGGGTTTGTTTAAAACCTGCTCATGTTTCTTGCCCTGTTGGACTTCTTTTTGTGTTGCAGCCACATTCAGGTTTTTAAAAAAAAAGCCAAATTAGCATTTCATATTTCGCAAGCTGTGGTCAAAAGGATGAGAGCTACCCTTCTACCTGTTTCTCAGCACTCTCAGCCCGCTGGTCAGCCTCCGTCACCCTCTGCTCCAGCTCCTGCATCTGGAATAGAGACAAAAGAAGTTACAATGGCTCTAAACACACGTCAGCAAATCCTCAAGAGTTACACTTAATTTAAAGAAAGAAAACACCTACAGCAGCCCAGAGCAACAAGTTCTGGCAAGACACGTCATATAACCTGCCACAAAAGGCCCTATTAGACAGACCACCAAGCCAGAATCTGCCTACACAAACACACACCTAAAGATGCACACAGACAGACTTAATCCTTCATAATCACCATTGCCATAGTGAAGACATTTAAATGATTAATGGAATGGGAAGCAACTGTGCTAGGAAAACAATCCTAATCAAGAAAATCTTTCTGAATAAACAACGGAAGAATAAAACTGGTTGAGAGGGTCAAGCATCAGCCAAGTCAGAGAGAAGAGGAAGCACATGAAGGATAATCTTCTGTAAAATCAAATAATTTACAACGAGTGGCACTTTACACAGAAGGGCACGGACAAACTGTAGAGCCAGCAGAGAGGCCCTCAGAGGAGGCTGAACATCTTTCACACTACTGCCGCTGGTCAAACAGCAGCGTGATAGAAGAATGCCACTGTGTGTGTGCACAAGCTTGCGTCACCTTTTGTGCAAGCATGCATACTCATGCTTTCAAAGGCAAACACTGTCCATGCTGCAAGTCCCCTGTCTCTCTGCATGCCACACACACACACACACACACACACACACAAGTGCATAGACAAAATACTCCTAAATGCTTGCGCACACACACAAGTTCGACCCTTACTTCTGAGTTCAGTGACCCATGTGAAAGGAGAACAAACATACTAATGGATTCACTCTGCCTGAGAGATGCATTCTGAATTCCTCCCATCATCTTTGTTTCCCTTCCCCTTTGTTTCTTTCGGTCTCCCTTTCTCGTCAGTTCCATAAAGGCCGCCTGATTCCCAGAATCCACCACCACTCACAACATCTGAACGCTTCCTCACAGCCAGATTAACACTCACTAAAGCCAGAGCGCATGTTGATGGTTAGTGGTGAGATGACGCTTCACCTCAAGGTCAGAAGCGTTCACAGTGAGTCAAAGGCTTTACCGAGCTAGAGCCAAAGAGCAAACAGCACAGAGTCCTCCATTCAAAACGAGAGGCAAGCCAGCACTTTTAAGTGAATATAAAGTACTTCAGAGGTCAAAATGTAGAACAGATGTGAGGAGTGGTCATCAGAAAGAGCCATTGAACAGCCTAAAAACCTGCTACATCCAGTCTGAGGACAAGATAGAGGTCAGGAGGTGGAGGTGGTTGGATGTTGAGTTGTGAGTTTAAAATGTGAGTGTGAAGCTGACGCAGGACCATAACTGGAGGTGTGTGTGAGTATATAAAGAGCTAGGCTTACAGTCATAGTACTGAGCACAAGGCATTGAATACGTCTTTTAAGTCGCTCAGATTCAAAAGGACAAATGGTGGATATCAGTTCTACCAGCGTGTATGCAGAGAGACGCTTTAGCATCTCTGGGGTTCAAGTGGTTTCCCTTAAGGGCATTTATTTCAGCTGTGTGGAAAGAAGAAAGACGTACCGACACGGCCCTCTCAGACGAAGTTAAGAACCCCTTCATTAACACCGCCTGTCATGTTGCAAATGATTTTGGGTCTTAACTGTTTCATTACTTTTTAGCCAACTATTTTAGCCATTTATATCCATTATCCAATAGGATATTTTAACTATCCATCCATTAGTTAACTACTTTTATCCATTACTTCCTGTTAGCTAATGATTCAAACTGGATATTCTTTTAGTGATTTCACCATATCCAAATACACTTAGCTCACTATTGTAACTGTTCATTTATCATTTTTATCCATTACTTAAAATTTGATTTATTTTCACCATTTATCCAATACTTTGATATAAATATTTTAAGTTTATCAGTTCTAGCTTTCAACCTATCAGCTATTTTAGCTATTGCACCATTTATCAAATATTTAACTGTTTATCCTTTACTTTTAGCCAACTATTTTTCTTTCTTACTATTAGCTACCTGTTTAAATGCCTCTGCTTGCAAACTAAACTCGATATGTAGATATATATTTTCTAATCAAAACAAAATGTCTCAAATTAGTTGAGCTTATTCAGAATATTTGTAGTATATCTGGTAACTGAAGAAGTTACCAACAGTTGGGATTCACTGTTACATAACATCTCTGACTGCAGTTCGCAATCAATGGGTGACCTGATTGTAAACTGGCTTCTTTAGCCTTAAGGCTATTAGATATGGATACAGACAGTGTAAGGTGGTGCTGGGTTTATCTTTCCGTCTGTCTCTGTCTGTTTAGTCGTTGCAGAGTCCAACTGTTGCAGCCTGAGTCGCTGAGCAGGCGTGAAACAACTATGTCTTCAATCCAGCATCTGTCAGGCCACGGTGCAACACACCAACTTCTTCTGCTGACAAGGCTGGAAATTGATGAGGTGGGAGTCGGGTTTCGTAAAGCTTTGTATTAACAGCTTGAGTTGCATCTATATCGCCAGACTTTAAGGAGTTTCTTGATATTCCGTATTCTTACTAACAAGTATTGTCTGTGAACCAAAAACATAATCAACAGATTAATGTTGTTTCACAGTTTATTTGCAGTCCTGCTGTCTTAAATACTCAATAAAGCACCAGATCCGCAGCTTAAAGTAGTCCTCAACAAACTGACTCTTGTTTGAGTAACTGTTGCTGAAAACTACAATGTCCAGTAGTTTTAGGAACTTATTTAGCCTTTTTTTAGACCCATTTTTAAAGATTTAAATCTAAGGACAATAAAGGGTTACAGGCATCCTCAAGAGTAGTGAAAGACTAATGCACTGTTGCTTGTCCTTATCTGTGCGCCTTTTAGCTCAAACTATAACTGAAAATGAGAGTGGATGACAGAGTAAAGCAGAGTGTTGGACCCCTCTGCCTCAGTATGGATTCCAGAGGATCAGATAATATCCAGGGAGGTGGAGATAAGAAGAGGACAGATCATCTGCTTCCCAGACAGCTAACAGATCTGTCACAGTTAAATATCTGTTTACTGTTACTGCGAGAAACTAACTGACAAGAGATTAGAGATCTGATCCCCTAGATTGGATTGTCCTGCCTCCTCTCTATGTCTTTACACTGTTCACGTGAACAGGATCTGAAAACGGCAGAGAAGGTAGAGGAGTCGTCAAATATTGGTTTCGCTGTGAAATATCAGTTCACTGAGTGCGCCGCCTGCGTCTCAACTTTAATCATTAACCCTTGTGCACAGCTGATGGTTAGCAATGACTCCCGCTCAATCATTACATGTTAAAACCTCTGTAGAAAAGAGGGGGAAAGAGAGTGCACAGATAAGGGAAAGAGAGAAAAGGTACTAGTAGAGAAAGAGTAAAATAAAGGCATCACACAGTGTGAATACCACGTGGGACATCAGCACTTAATATGAAATGCTGTACTCCTTTTAATGCCTCAGTGATTATCTATTAAATCCACTTTAATCATTAAGATATGGAGACAAAAGAGAGAGAGAAAGCTGATAAAAAAACGGGTAAAACACAAGACAAATGCATAAAACTAGCTCCTAACTCTCACAGGGTTAAATATAGGCAACCTTAACAGACTGAGGCAGTTGATCTATCAGAAAGAGCTGATCCAAACAAATCCTCTCATGAAAATAAATGTTTATACACACAACTGCGAACCTAGTGACCTTCCCGCAGCCATCCTTGCTGACTGATATCACTGGCCCGAGTCAAATAACTGCGTTTTTTTGCTCCTCGAGCCACGTGAGGCTTATGGAAGAGATTAATCTAATTTGTTCAGTATTAGATTATCCGAGTAATGAAAGGAAACCTTGAAGTGGGAATACCACCCAATTTAAAAATTCCTCTGAATGAGGTATTTCTATATTCTGGGACAGCCAAGTAAAGATATTTGAAACTCAATTGTCTGTTTTCCAGCAGCCTCAGTAAGGATTTTGATATCAAGCTCTTGTAAACGTCTTCTTTTGAAGGTCAATCCCTGACAATGTGTGTAGTATTGTGAACTCTTTAGGCTAAATTATTCAGTTATAAAGTTGCGTCAAACATGTTATATTCTCTCCTAGTCACTTTACAGTCTCTTCCAGTTCTTTCTGTATGAAGTTTCTGTTTTTATAGGCCACCAGCTGACAGCTGCCGATTGCACTTTCCTAATCCGCAGTAAAAACTCTTAAATGGAGTACTTGTTACACTCCTCACAAGGCAAATGGGGCATCTCCTTCTCCCCACTCTCTCTCTCTCTC